AGGCCAAAGTTCACAATAGCTTGCACCTGGTAAGGGGTAAATGTACGCATGCGCTAGCGCGTGAGTCCACATTATGAACACTACGCATGCGCCACTAGCAATCTAAAAAAGGACAAATGCGCCATGCCGGGGGCGCGCCATCTTGTTGTGCTAGAATGAAATGCTGTTTTGCCCCATGTTGGCTCCTTGGCTCCTGGCTCAGCCTCATTCACGGCATGTCGGCTCCTCGTGCCTTCTTCCGGCTGGGGCAGCTCACCTCCTCAAATCCCTCTCCAGCCTCCCTCGGTGGACAGTCAGAAATGAGTCAAAGGCGTCCCAGAAGCTTTTAATCCTGTTCACTGGGAAATAGTGCTGGCATTCAAGTGGAGGTGCATGCACAGTGGGCCACAATTACGAGTGTGTAATAGATTTAGTTACATCAGAAACACCCAGGTGTTGGTTCAAAGACAGATGTCTGGGCCTCATCCCAGACCCACTTCATTGGGATATTCACAGGGATGCCCAAGAATGTCAGATCTAAGAATTGCCCAGGTGATTCTGATTAGCAGTAGTTGTTCCCAGTCTTGGCGGTCCCAGGCTTTGGGAAGACGGGCTGGCATTAGAGCTGTGAGTTGGGGAATCCTTGGGGCAGATGTCTAAGCCTGTGCATGATGAGATCTGGTGGTGGAGAATGAGAGAACGCTTCATGTAGACTAAAGTCATTTCCCTTTCTCAGGCAGCCTGGTATTTTTCCAGAGCTTTTGTAAAGTATCCATTTCATTCATCATTATGCAGAATGCAGAACTTGGCGTTGAGTTTCTTAGTAGGAATAGGAAGTCTAGTTCTAACACTGCCTCTTCAGCCTTGAGCAGACAGACTACTTTTCATCGTAGGGCTTGGGATAAGACTGAAAATAGAGCAAAGAAACATCAGGTAACAAAGACAAGAAATCAATGCCAATGTCTCAAGAAGGTATAATGAAAGACTAAGTATAATTTGAGGAGGTGGGGACAGTCGGTAATTCCTAAATTGTGTTTGAGGAGAATCTATTGTCCCCAACAAAAATCATTCTATGCATGTCATTTGTTGAATTTCACTATTTTGGGTGGTAAACACCTTATCTTTTTGGATATTATCTCTAAAGAAGTTGCTGCTCTGTCATCTTCCTCCTGCTCCATCTCCCCGCTTCCCCGCTGTTTTTAAGGATGGTGTTGTTAACAGCACCTTGTTTCTGAGACATCAGCCAGAAGGCAGCCCTTGCCTCTCAGAGCTTCAAGGACGTAAATCTATTTCCATCTCTTCGTTTTTCTTTTTGGCTACTGTGTTGAAATAAGGTAAGTCTTGTTTTCTCTTTCTGTTTGACCCTGTTCTAAGTTTGGATACATGGCTTTGGACATCTTTCTCTTTGAACATGGAAATACTTTCTGCAGGAATCTATTCAATAAAACCTGACAGACCATTTAATGCAGCTTTAAAATGCCAGGGGAGGGACAACATCCCTCTGTGAAGGTCAAGCATGGTGGGAGAGGCGCTGAGTGTTTCTTTCTGTGGAAGAAAGCCCTGCATCTTCACCAAGCAGAGGTCGAGGGAAAAGTGAATAAATAACAGGGATTGCCGTGTATTTCTTGCTCTGGCCAGGAGTAGGTACATGGCTTAAAACATATCTTGAAATAAAGGTTAAAGTTATGTCTGTTTAAAAAGATGAGAAACCATAGCTCAAAGTGAAAAAAAAGTGACAATGAATATATATATGTTCATGTATAACTGAAAAATTGTGCTCTACTCTGGAATTTGACACAACATTGTAAAATGACTATAACTCAATAAAAAAAATTAAAAAAAGAAAAAAGGAAAAGATGAGAAACCAATGCCTAGAACTGTGACACTGATTGTAAAAGAGAAAGGGGGAATGCTCTCCGTTAGTTAAACTGTGCAATCTCTCCATTTTGTCATCATTTCCTTCCTCCTTTCTTTCCTTCCTTCCTCCCTCTCTTCCTTCTTAGAACTACTTACTGAATGCCTGCTGTGTTCCAGGCTCTGGGCTAAGTGTGACCAAATACAACATGACAGAGATTTTTCTCTTTTTTCCTGTTGGTTCATGCAGTGGACTGAATGTTTGTGCCTCCCCCAACTCAGATATTGAACCCTAACCCCCAGTATGATGGCATTTGGGAGTGGAGCTTCTGGGAGGTGATTGGGTCATAAGGGTCAAGACCTCAGGAAAAGAGTTAGTGCCCTTATAAAAGAGACCCAGAGAGACCCCTTGCCCCTGCCACTGTGTGAGGACACAGCCAAAAGAAAGCTGTCTAGGGACCAGAGAGCAGATCTCACCAGACACTGAATCTGTGGTCACCCTGACCTTGAACTTCCCAGCCTCCAGAACTAAGAAGTTTCTGTTGTTTTTAAGCCACCTAGGCTGTAGAATTCTATTACAGAAGCTCAGATGAACTGAGACAGATTATTGTGAACTTGAGATACTCTTTATAGTGTCTTAGATGTAGTTTTAAAATCGGCTAAGACTTAGATTTCCAAGACATTGAGAAGCAGGAGCTCCTTTGCAATTTACAGCTTAAAGGACATGTGCTCCTGACTCTCTGTCACCATCTAGAGGCAATTTATACATATTGCAGGGCTAGTTCCTGGAAAATTGAGTGTAGAAAATCATCCCAGAAGTTACAGTTTTGCAGTGTTTGTGTATCGACCTTCTAGAATAAATTAGACCCAATCGTCTGCAGATGAATGGAATGGGAAGTTTTGCTCACACAGGTGTATGTGAGAAATGGGTCTTGGCTTCCGCACCAAACCATGGAGGTCTGGGATCGACTGGGTGCAAAGGTTTCCAAGGGTGGGGGGGAAGAGCTGCAAAAATCACTGGGCGACAGGACACTTAGATTAGGTTCAAGAGGAGGCTGCCAGTCCCCCAGCAGTGGGCACTCAACAATTGTCCAGTTGAATGAGAGGCCATGAGGCTCGAGGTTGATGCAGAAAAATGCCAAAGCATAGGATTGGGATCACACTATGCATCCAGGTTCTCACTAGGGGCGATTTTCCTTCAGGGGAACACCTGGTAATGCACATTTTGTCACAATTGTGGGAGTGCTACTGGCATGTAGAGGGTAGAGACCAGAGATGCTGCTCTCCACGCTACAATGCACAGGACAGCCCCCACCCCAGAGGATTATCCAGCCCCAGTGACAATAGTGCTGAGGGTGAGAAATGCCAGCCTGGCACAGAGCACAAGTGCAGAAGTGCTCTCAGAGACTCAGGCCCTGACCATGGTGAGTAATGTCTATTACTGACCTCAAGAGAGGGAGACCAAAGGGGTGTGGATGACTTTATGCAAAGGTGTCTCTCTGGAGAGACATGGTTATTTTCAGCCAAGTGTGGACAAACTGTGCACCCCTCCAGCTTCCTGTAGAGTTCACTAGATGATACAACTCAAAATGCTGTCCAATCCCACTGTCCTTTTTTATCCAGTCTTTTGCTTGGTGCCATGACTTCCAGCACCATTATTTTGTTTTGTTTTGTTTTTATAGTAGATTTATAATGTTGTGGTAGTTTCTGGTTTACATCATAGTTATTCAGATATACATATATATATTCTTTTTCATTATAGGCTATTACAAGGTATTGAATATAGTTCTCTGTGCTACACAGTAGGACCTCATTGTTTGAACACAGTTTTTACCACATTTCCTTGATGTCCAGTTTTCTTTAGTATCCAGTTCTTCCATGAAATCACATAAAGTACCCAAGTCACCTGTGTTAGAATCACCTGTAGCTGCTTGCTACAAATGCATATTTGGGCCCGATACCAAATCTAGTGAATCAGAATTTCCATGGCTTGTGGCCCAGGAATCTGCATTTTCAGCCAGCTTCATGGGTGATTTGACTTACATTGAAGTCTGACATAGGATGGATGGAGTAACAGAACTCCAGGGCATCATCTGTTCTTACTTTTAAAGCCCACTTGTAAAGGGCTCAGAGAATCATTCACTTAATCCTTGGGATATCCGTTTGCTACATTGTGTTTATTCCTCTTTTACAGATTATAAAATGGAGGCCACAAGAGCTTAAACAGTTTATATCGTGAAACCCAAGAGATTTGTTTAACCTTGATTTTCTCACCATGAAGCCTTTCTGAAAAGTTGTCCCGTAGGCAGAAGCTGTGCCACCTTCTCTGCTTCCCCAGCCCCAGGCTGACATCTTCACTGCTGCATCTGGTGAAATAGACTATGCATGTTGAACTGTCACTTGTTCTAAACTGTGACGGGCACCTCATCTTCGTCACCTCAGTGCCCTTAGAAGCCAGGTATACATCCACCTTTGCTGTCTCCACTCTGGTCCAAAGCACGGTCATTTCTCACCTTGATTCTATTTTTTTTAATTGAAGTTTTGTCGATTTATAGTGTTGTGTTAATTTCTGGTGTACAGCATGTGATTCAGTTACACACATATATATATATTTCTTTTCATATTCTTTTTCATTATAGGCTATTACAAGGTGTTGAATATTGTTCACCTTGATTCTAGCCACAGCTATATGACTTGTTCCCTCTGGCTCCGTCTCAGCAACCCCATTCTATATCTACACAAGGAGATAATGTTGCCTCCTACACACACACACACACACACTCATACCCATACCTTAAATCCAAGTTTCCTACGTGATTTACCCCAGCCTAGCAGGTCCTGTTGACCTGGCCACCTGCTGTTTCTGTCTCTCCTTCTGGCCTGGAAGTCTTCATCCTTGTAAGCACGTTTCCCTACTTCAAGACCTTCGGTTACACTGAGCTCTCTCCCCTGACGTGCAAGATCTCACTCCTTTATAAAACTGACCCACCCTCTTGGGTCTTACTTGGAATATCAGCTCCTAAGAGACATCTTACAATTACACTCATTCCCCCACCCCCACGGCTGCCCAACTAAATTAGATTCTGTTATTCTTTGCAGTTCAGGAGCCCACTGTTTTCCTACACCGAATTAGTGATCTTTTTCGGTTCTATTATTGTTGAGTTATCCCTTGAGGGTCTTTTCCATTAGCCTGTAAAGGGAGTAGATTTTGTTCCTCACTGCAAACCGCAGGGATCAAAAGATCAAGTAAACGCGTTGAGTAAATGAAGACACGCAGCAAATGGGATGCGCCCTCACGGTGATGGTGGTGACTGTTTCTTACAGCTGGTTTCTGTAGGTTAGGGGGGTGGGGCCTGGGGCTAGGATTCAATCTTAAGGAGTGGGAAACATGGTCGCTCGAAGAGGCGAGGCCACCGCCAGGCAGCCCGGGTTTTCACACGCTGCAGGCAGTGACGGGGCTCATACTTCCAGCCCTCCAGGCAGCCTGACGTTTGCGAGTTGCCGGCATTATTCTTTGGGTGGCGAGGCTACATGGCGTCCCGCTGAGCCCAGTTTCCATAGCCTATCAAGGGGTTAATCATTCCCACCTGGGCCAGGATAGGGCCCGAGGCGAGCGAGAGCAAGCGGGGCTGGGGGAGGGGGGGTGCTGGTACCTGGCTCTTCGGAGGTGCTGAGAACGCTAAATACCTGAGCTGTCTCGCCAGCAGCCTTGTAAAAGAGAAGTCTGCACAGGCAGCGAAAGAAGTCGCACCGCTCACCTGAGCGCCCCCACTCCCTGCGCGGTCCCCAACCCTCTCCTCGCTCTGCTCTTCCCTCCGTGCGCTTCAGTTACGTTTTCCTAGCCTGGCCCAGGGCGCTCCCCTCCCTCCCTCGGCGGTCGGTCCCTCCCTCCCCCTGACTCTCACCCAGCCTCCCCTCCCCCTACGCCCCCTCCCTCGGAGCGGGAGCGGGGAATCCCACGCCCTTGCACCAGCCCGGGGGCTCAGACGGGCCCGGGAGCCGCCGGTCGCCAATCACCGTGCGGTGGAGAGGCGGGCGCTCGGCTCGGGCGCGCTGAGGGAGCCAGCTGGCGCGGCTCGCCCCGGGAACCTCAGACGCTCACCCCGACCCAGACAGACGCACGGACGGACGCGCAGGCGGGCGGGCGCGGACAGAGTCCCCTGGCCGTCTGCGCTCGGAGGCGCGCGCCAGCCCCGACCCGGGGCTCCTCGGTCCCGTCCCCGGGAGCCGCAGGCGGCGTTGCGCGGACCGGCGCCGGCGGGAGGGGAGGGCGCGGGGCCGGCCGGAGCCGGGGAGGCCCGGCGCGCCTGGCCCGCGAGGTGAGAGGCGGCGGCTCCTACCTGGCGCCGCACCTGGAGCGCTGCGCTCCGGGGGCGGCGGGGAGAATGCGCGCCGCCCGCAGCCACCGCGCCCGCACCTGACCATGGAGTGCGCCCTCCTGCTCGCGTGCGCCCTCCCCGCTGCCCGCTCGGGCCCGCCGTGGGGGCCGGCGGGACGGGGGCGCGTAGCCAAGGCAGGTGCCCGCCGAGGGGCGCGCCAACGGCGGGGGGGCCGGGGACGCCGGCCTCGCCGCGCCCCCTCACTTGCGGGGTCACCTTTTCTCTTGCAGGCGCTCCAGCTGTGCTGTCTCTGCTGTGCGTCGGTCGCCGCAGCCTTAGCCAGTGACAGCGGCGGCGGCGGCAGCGGATTAAACCACGGTTCGTATTCGCCCCCTATACCCAGAAGCGCCTTTCCGGGCACTTTGTCCCTTCCTTTCCCCCGAAGAGAGACAAGTAGAAAAGCTCACCCCCCACCCTCCGCCACATGGCAGGTGTGCGCGAGTCCTGGAAATGGTTCCTGTTTGGAAAGGGGAGATGAGGCAAGGACTCTGAATTTATCAAAAGAATCTGTATCTCAAGCTTCAAGTCACATAAATGAGAAAACAATACTTTCCCTCGTTCACAGACGGCGGGTTAAAAAAAATCCTTGCTGTGGAGAGAAATTAGAAAGTGAGTGGACACTGACCAGGTGGCTGATACTAAAAGACACCTTCCTCATTTCTTTCCTCTTCCAGAAAAGCCGGCAGGAACGAATTCTTGGTGGGGGAAGAAAAAATGTGCCCCTTGCTACCCCATCTTCCCTTCCCCCAGTCTTCCCTCCCCCCTTCACCATTCCTGTCCCTTTTTTCCCTTTCCTCTCTTCTATTCTTCTCTTTGCCTTAGTGTCGTTGATTCCCAGAGATGGCTTTTAGGAGAGCAGGTAGCTTGAGGTCTCTGAGGTTGGGAGGGGGGAGGGGGACATGTCTTTTGAGGTTCCCGAGCTGCAAATCTCCAAAACACCTTTTACTTCTGTCATTTATTAACTTCACCCTGGCGCCTGGAAGGGAAATCCTTGTTTCCATTGTTCCCCAGCTACCGGAGAACAGCTGATCCCTGAGCCAAGGTATCTATAGCAGGAGCCTGATGTCCAGCTGGGGCTTTGTAGTTTTTAGCCTTGCAGGGTTATCACCTTCTCCTGTCTGGTCCGCCTGTTGGGGGACCAGGGTTCCTTCTTGGGAGAGTGGGGGATGGCAGAGTCCTAGAGAAAGGCTGTGTCAGGGAGTGGGTGAATGAGGGGACGGGAAAGCCAAGAATTCACTTTTTTCCAACCAGAGAGGCTGGCTGCAGTTTCTAGAACAACCCTTCGTCATTTCATCAGGTTGGAGGGCCCCTCCGTTTCAGCTGCCACCTGTAAGGACCTCATCTTTAGGCAGCCCCTGAGCTGATTAATCTGCTCACTCATTACAGACGCTCTGACTGCCCCCATTTTTCCATCAAGGACTGACTGTTTCCCTCAGCCTGCTCATTCTCCCCTTGGAAACAAACTAGCAGCAGGTGTGTGGGTGGGGGGCTTTGCAGGCTACTTCTGCGGAAGGCTGGCTGGATAAGGCTCCTGCAAGTTCTCCCGACTAAGAGCAGGCAGAGTTGCCGATGGTTATGGACAAGGAGGTAAGAGTTCACTTGTTGTAGAGACTCTGTCTGGAGTGTAGGTGAGGGATGGTTTTCACAGTTCGGTTTTAGTGGGGTGGAGATGGTCTGTTGCTAAGAAAAGGTGTCTCTTCAAGAGCCACCTACCAGGGAAGCAACATAATAGAGATTTTTAAGAGAAGAGAAATCGTGTATAACCTGCCCAATTTGCTAAGGTGAAGAAAGGAGTAAACTTTTTTTTCAATTATTTATATGCATGAACCATTAGATAATGTTTCTAGTTAAAGAAGTGAAGGAGAAAAATGGGGAGAATCTAAAGAATATTTTAAGAATGAGAATTTCTCAAACAGTAAGTCACAGATAGTTCATACCCGGTAGAACACAGCTGAAAACTATTGTCATAGTGGGTTTTTTTTTTCAAACGTAGATCCAGTTAGACTATCACTCATGGATCTCTGCTAGCTACACGGCTTCTGTTCATTCCTTACAGGTTTTATGTTTGTTTGTTTTTGGTTGTTGGTTGTTGACCTTTTTGGGAAAAAGGAAATTCCTCTTTTCTTTTCCTCCTCCAGTAACCAAGGACCCAAGAGACTCAAACATGCCTCTTAGTTATTAGTTATTAGAATCTTTCGAAACACGTTCCAAATTAGTTTCCCATTGTGTCCCTAGAAAGTGGAAAGGCAGAGCGTTTTTTAATGCGCAGAGGGCATTTTCCAAGTCATTTGGTGGGATGATACTTTTCAGTTTCAATGTTGTGTGATAGAAAACAGTGGCCTGGCCTCGGTTTTTTTTCAAGCAGCAGGTCTGTTGTTTAGCGCCTCCTCTCTGGGACAGGCAGCGGGTAGTGCTGCTCTAGGGAGCAGTGGTGAAGGTATTTTTAAACATGTCTTTCCAGGTGTCCCCTGATCTGACACGCCCCCACCAACATGTCTGAGCAATTTTAAACATCAGGCTGTATAGGAAATTTCTGACAATTTCGAGGCATTTTTATGTATCCACTCTATTTTATGCTGACAATTAAATGGATTTGTCCCACTGAAGCTCATTGTAAAATGTTGAGTGATACAAGTGCCGGAGTTTTATTATCACATATAATTAATTCTGGAAATATAGAACTGCAGTTACTTGTTAATTATCTGAGACTGCATCTCGAATTACTCAGCAGTGTGAGTTATCGTTTGAAATTTGAACTCTGCCCCCATTGCCAAAATGCTCCCAATGTAGTTGAAACACAAAGATATCATCTCTTTGGCAAAAAAAAAGCATTCCTTTCTTTGCTTTGCGGTTTTGTATTTATTAATATTGTCTCCCCCAAGTCAGCTTTATGTGTGGATGGCTCTATGACTAGTATATAAAAAGTCCGTCTCTCTCTGCAGAGCTTGAGAGTTGTATTGTCCACAGACATTCTTGACATTCATCAAGATTGTGCTTGACTTTGAGTTTCTGCAGGAATTGCTGGGGCAGAGCTAATTGTCAAGCCAGCAAGATTCTCCTTGTCATGAGCTGCTCTGAATTAAATGTAGTCTGAGGGCACGGCAACGGAAACAAAGATCCCTCTAAGCGGTGCATTGATTTGTCAGCCTGCTGGAAAGGGACCCTTTGGCGTTGTGGGCTCTGGGTGCTGACAGCCAAACCTTTCCCATTGCAGATTACGTCTTTGTCACGCCGGTAGAAGTGGACTCGGGCGGGTCATATATTTCACACGACATTTTGCACAACGGCAGGAAAAAGCGGTCCGCGCAGACTGCCAGCAGCTCCCTGCATTACCGATTTTCAGCATTTGGACAGGAACTACATTTAGAACTTACGCCCTCGGCGATTTTGAGCAGTCACTTTATTGTCCAGGTACTTGGAAAGGATGGTGCTTCAGAGCCTCGGGAACCCGCAGTGCCGCGATGTTTCTATCAGGGATTTATCAGAAACGACAGCTCGTCCTCCGTCGCTGTGTCTACGTGTGCCGGCTTGGTAAGCACCCCCGGACTCGGAGTCAACTCCCTCTTTCCTGTGTTTTGTGTAACTTGAATGAACAGATGCCTGCAATATTGTGTCCTTCCTGTCAACTCCACACGTTGACACTGTCAGCTTTGATATGTATAATATTCTCAATTGAGTTAATCTAATCTGCTCCCAGAAAAGGAAAATATAATAGAACTTTAATTATCATTTAGAATGCTCTTTTGATGTTTAATAGTCTGGGCCTCTTCCTTCTCCATGTTTGAGACAGTCCCCAAGGAAATTAAGTTGATGGATGCCATTCGCTTTGGGAAGTCTTGAGAGGCCAGGCTTTATATAAAACAAGCTGCGGGTGTCCACGGTGCTTTGAAACACGCAGACTGTATGTGATGCAAAATAGCATTCACAGCCTGTGAAGCCCACCCTTCCCTGTGCAAGGGAGGCTTTTCATTTTCTCTTAACTAATCTGTTCATGTTGCCTTGCTCACGTAAGACGCCTTACAGAGTGCGGTGTGGCATGTTCAAGGGCTGGCGGGAGTAAGCGTCGTATCCAGGAAGGCAGAACACTTAAAAAGCATTTAGGACAAGTGTCATTTCCTCTCAGTGTAATCCTCAACTATTGAGCTCCAGGACAAGAATATTGGTGTAAATGATACTTGTCTCAGAATTGAATCATATATGAGTCAATAAATGGTGTTTGGTGGATTTCCTCTGGTGTTGCAATTAACAAGTGTCTGCAACTGACAGAAGAGTTGATGTGTGTTGAGACGCACACTGGTCGTGCTCTGGCGTGACCGGGAGAAGGAAAACATGAGAAAGCCCAGTTGAGGATGTAATTAGTAGTGTACGTGATGGATTATGTCAGAGCAAGAAGGAGTGGCTTAGGTGCTGGTGATTAAGGACGCCCATGTTCTTGGCTCACTGAAGCTTTATTATTTAACTTTCATTTCCTATTGTGGCTTGAAATTTAGCTTAAATATTTTTATCACCACCAGAATTAGGATATTTTTTGGTATAGTTTATAAAGTATAGAGGATAAGAAAAATAAGACAAAAAAGATTCAAACATTTCCTGTTTCATCTGTTTAAATGAATCATATGGATTATTAATGACCTATATATACTATATAGGTCATAATAACATGCATGTCACTATAATAACATATAATACATAGGTTATAATAACATGGTTATACACACATAGGTGGCCCCCACACATGAATATATCTTGCTTTTGTTGTTGTTTGGTTGGTTTGGTTGGAGGGAAGTACATCCTCCAGTATTTCCCTCTCTTCTGTCCATTCTGATATCCTAACATCTTCAGAAGGAATTTAGACACTCTGCCGTAGCAGTTTAAACTCCCCCACTCCACAGAAGACAGTGGTTACGAGCAGTCTGCCCAAGGTCATTTTCACACTAGCGCTTTACTAGTAGGACCTTGGGCAAGTTATTAACCTCTCTGTGTCTTAGTCTCTTTCTCTCTGAAAAAGGTAATAATAACAAGAGGGTTTACATCACAGGGCTCTGGGGATTAAGTGACTTATTACATGGGAAGTGTGGCAGGAGTTCCTGGAAGGAAACACTTGCTCTATGGCTGTTCTAGTTTCAGCAGAACTTCGTCTCCCCATGTTTAGCTCTCAGGATTCTGCTCTCTGTGAGTATAAGAAATCTGATCAACTGTCTCATATTAATAGATGTTGGGTTATTTTTTCTAAGGAGAAGATGCACTTTTAAAAAGGAACAAATGACCACTTAACACACAGAATGAGGCAAGGTAAACATTTCCCTCTTTGTGACAGGTGAAAGAAGGAATTGGCAACCACATCTGCCTGTGTATCAGGCAGATATAAATTGAATTCATGAAACTCAGATTCTGTTCCTACTTTTCAACAAGCCAGCTGCATATCCCCAATTGACTTGACTTCTCTAGGCCTCAGTTTCCTCTCCTGAACCATGGAAAATGATTTCTAAGACCACTACCATCTCTTGGCATCTGACTCTTAATTATCCAATTGATTGACCCTATCAGGGACCACTTGATATGAGGTCAGGAGAATATCAAGCTTTTCCCCATTGCATGACCCACCTCCACCCATCCCTGCCAAACAACTGCAAAATACAAATGCACGCATCCATCTTCCATTAAACTGTAAGAAGAGTGAAACAAGAGAATAGAACCACGACTGAGAAGCTGAGACATCACTTTTTTTTATGTTGGTAATCTTGTGTTGAAGTGTAATGTATATACAGACTAGTGCAAAAATGTACAGAAAAATGCAAAAATTGTCGAGTACAGCCTAATGAATTTTTTTAAAGTTCACACTCCTGTAAGATCAAAGATCAACAACCACATAAAACAAGACATAACCAGGGCTCCAGAAGACCCCCCTGGCCCCCTTCTAAATCACTGTCCACCAGAAGTAACTGCTGTCCTAATTTCTGACATACTTTAATTTCACCTATTTTGAAATTTTAAATAAGTAGGAGAGGGTCGCCCAAGATTCCTCTGTATGAATATTCTGTGTTGTTTCTATCTAATGTTGGTGTACATTCGAATTGTTTCCAGTTTGAGGCTGTTCTGAGCAATACTACTGAACATTCTTGTCTATGCCTTTTGGTTGGCTTAGGG